GGGCCGTCTAGGATATGATCACAAACTGCAGACTTCCCGGAACGTTGGTGCTTCACGTCAGCTATGTGTTCTTTTACGCGGGTTTTTATTGATCGTTTTGTTTGCCCTATATATGAGAGACCACACTCACAATCAAGCTTGTATACTCCTGCATCTTGTAGAGGAATATTGCACTTGACGGATGGTAAGAACTGACTAATCTTCTTCGGCGGCTTGAAGAATGTTCTAATAGAATCTCGCTTCAAGATGTAGCCAATCTTGTCTGTCTCGACTGTGGCCGGCTTCACTCGGTCACTGTGACGTAGGCGCGGAACCCTATGACATCGGGACGTCAAACACCTCAGCACCTGAAACGTCGGGAATTAAAAAGTTAAATTAAGCGCGATAAAATCCGTAAAAATTAGTTTCATTTAATGTGTAGTCTTCGCGTAAATATAAGAAATCATTAAGAAACAATAAGCTTAGTAAACGATAGTTTTTTCAAACTAAGTTTGAACAAACAAAAAGTCTAAATATCATTATGCCACAAATGTTCATTACCATTTACATTGGATTAGAATGAAAATAAAATAAAACTATAAGTTTAAATAGTCAAACGACAACATTTTGGTCTCAAAACTAAAATTAAAAAAAAATAATTATTGCCACTAATTTCAAATTTTCAAATTTCAAATTTATTTATTGCCAGTATGTAGTACATAATATTATGATGTTGTTATTTATTAATGAGATCTTACATTCTACCATGATAATGGTGTGCAATATCTACAATATACAAAAAAAAATATTATTACATTTTAACGAGGTAAAATATTTAGGAAAAATAATTACGTAGTTGTTTAAAAATATTTTAGCGTCAAGTTTTTAAGTTACAATAAATATATGTCAAAAATTGAATTAATTAGGTAATTGATTATATATAAATGTAGTATCTAAAAAAAGTATCTAAAAAAAAATAAAAAATGTCATAAAATAAATATTAAATGTTAAAAAAAATAATAAGTTTTTCTATATTTCACCATTATTTTACATTTCTTTATAATTCATATATTCGTCTAACCTATAAAAACATTTTGTTGCCAGTCATTCTGTGAGTTTCCTTTTAAAAATTACGTAAGGGAGTGTACACGCCCCTAGCTGCTCCAACAAAAGTTCGACCATATCGGGGCCCATACAGCTGTAGATTCGACGAGCAGCAGGGGACGAGGCCCAACGGCCTATGGACAATTGACCTACACAATGGAGATAAGGCTAGGTAAATAAATAGTACGTACCTGGTTACGAAGCTAAGACCGCCCCAAGGCTCGATCAGGTCGTAGGTAGGTGTAGGTGCATGTAAGTGGTGTTTAGTAGTGTTTATTCATGTAGCCTGAACTAACTGAGGTGATCGGGCAGCGGCCTGGTCCCAAGCTGCCCCACAATGCTGCATCACTCCAGCAGGCGTCACCAAATGACAACTTCTTTCTTCATTTCACTATTTCATTCTATCAACTTTATTGTACATTTAACTAACTTCAAACTCAACTAAATCCCCGTTAATCGTAATCAAAAAGGTAACACGCGGCACGACTAATAAACGGTGGATCTAAGTTCATTTCCGTTTCACGTAGCAACAGGTTATTTCTAGAACCGAACACGACTTTCTCTTGTGTCACAAAGTTCCGGATTCATTTATCACCAAATTACAATAGGGAACTAACGCGATCTCTTCTCGAGTCACAAAGTTCAGCGTTATAATCAACAAACTAAATTCCTTCGTTCGATATTAAATACTACGCCCGCATTAAGAATTCAAAATCCACCTCTTGTCACGCACGTACAACTTAGACAAACTAATCCGAGGCGGTCTTCACGAAACCACAAATTCAATAGCGAATTAAACGCGCACAAATACAAAAAATCTAGATCAAAACCAAAACTGATCGCGCGAAACCGCTGCAGCGGTCACTAACAAATACTTAATCGACCGTACCGCTGCTCTCAAGCTACTGATCAACTTCCGCCGCGCCACGCGCCAATCCCACTCCGATCGCCCGAACGTCAAACCGGTACGAATGCACCGAGCCGAGCGCCCTCTGGCGTCAAATCTTGAAACTAGCGTTTGGGCGCAAACAGGGAGGTCTTTAAGAGTGTTAGGCAATTTATTGTAAACTCTAATAGCATTTATAAATACATTTCTTTTATATATGTCATGGTTGCGTAGAGGCAGATGGAGCTTAAATTTATTTCTTGGCATGGCACTTCTACTGATTAAACTTGGGTTAATGGTGAAATATTGTGGATGCTGTTTGACAAAAACACAAAGTTCCCGTATGTACATACAAACTAAAGGCAGTATGTGAAATTTGTGAAATAAAGGTTTGCAATTATCTAAAGACGCTCCACAAATAGCGCTTACACACTTCTTTTGAACACGAAAGGCCTTGCCAACCTCAACCGAGTTGCCCCCACAGAACACTAATACCCTTAGGGTTGCCCCACAACAAGAGACCGTATGAAAGCACTGAGGAGACATAGCCATGGTAAGCGCTCAGTGCCGCTTCATTAGACACTGTCAACCGCAGCTGTTTTATAGCATAAACAAATTTCTCTAGTTTATCGCATACGTACTCTATATGATTCTTCCAGACACAGTGTCTGTCAACTATTAATCCTAAAAATTTTGTACAGTTGACTTCTACAATTTTTGTACTGTCGATACAGATGTTAAGTTCGATAGGTGGAGTTCTAAAATCCCTAAATTGTATCATCATGGTTTTATTTAAGTTTATTTTTAAATTGTTACTTTTAAACCATCTAAAGATTTTGTCGAGTGCAATAGATATTTCATTTTCACAGTTGTTTCACACTTAATAATTACAGTAGTATCATCCGCAAACAGAACAGTTTCGTGGTCAGTGACGTTTGAAAGATCATTAATATATATAAGAAATAAAAAGGGACCTAACACACTTCCCTGTGGGACACCGTATTTATTATTTTGCAATCGAGATCTGCTTGTAATTTTATTGCCCTTTTGAATTTTAGCAACCTCTACTCTAATGTTTAGTATCATTTACATTGGAGTAGAAAGAAAATAAAATAAAAATATAATTATAAATAATCAAACGACAACCTTTTGGTCTCAAAACTAAAATACAAGACAAATATTTTTTAAACTTGTGTAAACAAAAAAAAGTGAAAAAAATTATTGCCATGAATTTTCAGTTAAAGAGTTTAAAAAGCAATCATTTCACCAAAATTCTTCTTCGTCTCTTTCCCAACAATATTTAACATTTTTTCCTGACAATATTTCCCACTTTCAAAAGTAATCTTTCGGCTGGCGCGGAACTGGCTACCACAGGGAGGTGTTTAAGAACCAATTCGGTTAGTTTAGGGAAAGTTCCTTCAGAGCTTCTCCATATATTGAGGGTATCTGCCTTGAGATTTGATAATGGTGCCGCAATATATAGATCCAATTTAGTATTTTTGCCTATTGACGTGTTGGCCGCTATCATTTTTTCACTATAAAATACTTCCTTCAGTCACTTTTAGGCGTTTTACAAGACATTTTTATTGTTTATATATAATTGTTTACACTAACCAAAGAAAGAAAGAAAACCAGAGAATACTCTTACTCCTAGAGGAGGAAGAAAACTGTTGAAAACATACGAAAGGCGAAACTGTTTTACATACATAGAGATACATAAAAGTGAACTTACTTCGCGGTTTTTCATCTGTCGCACAGATGACGCTGTTCTTTTGATTGACTTATTCATGTTATTGAACTTCATCATCATCATCATCATTACAGCCCTTCACACGTCCACTGCTGAACATAGGCCTCCCCCAAAGAATGCCACAAAGCACGGTCCCGAGCCACCTGCATCCATCGACTTCCTGCATGTCTTACCAGGTCGTCACTCCATCTCGTGGGGGGACGCCCTACACTTCACCTACCGGTACGAGGCTGCCACTCGAGAACCTTTCTTCCCCATCGGTTGTCGGTTCTTCGAGCTATATGGCCAGCCCACTGCCACTTCAGCTTTCTAATCCGTTGGGCTATGTCAGTTACTCTGGTTCTACTGCGGATATCCTCATTCCTAAGTTTATCACGCAGAGAAACTCCGAGCTTAGCCCTCTCCATAGCTCGCTGAGCGACCTTGAGCTTCCTCATACGGCCAGCAGTGAAGGACCACGTCTCAGTTCCGTAAGTCATCACTGGCAACACGCACTGGTTGTACAATTTCGTTTTCAGGTTTTGAGGTATGTCTGACGAGAAGATGTGTCGTGGCTTCCCGGACGCTGCCCAGCTGAGTTGAATCCGTCGATTGACCTCTCGGTCGAAGTTTGACTTACCTAGTCGGACTATTTGTCCCAGGTAAACATACTCGTCAACAACTTCGAGCTTAGTGCTCCCAACAACTACCGGCATAGGTGTGACATGGACATTGAACATGATCTTTGTTTTGTTCATGTTCATCTGAAGACCTATCCGTTGGGAAACACTATCGAGATCATTGAGCATAGTGCTTAGGTCCTCCAGCGATTCTGCCATAAGGACTATATCGTCGGCAAATCGAAGATGAGTGATGTACTCGCCATTGATGTTGATACCGTATCCTTTCCAGTCCAGAAGCTTGAAAACCTCTTCCAATGCAGCGGTGAAGAGTTTCGGGGATATGACGTCACCCTGTCTTACACCTCTCTGCAATTGCATAGGTTTCGTACTCTGATTCTGTACTCGGATAGCCATCGTAGCCCTATTGTACAAGCACTTCAACACTTCGATATACCGAAGTTATTAATAATTATTGAACTTACTTCATGTTTTTACATCCATCGCACAGATGACTCTGATTACCAAAATCGATTAAAACGCGTAATTTATATAATCGATTTTCATTATTACAAAATCGACTTTAAAAATCGATTATAATTAAAAAATAATCGATTAATATGAAAATCGATTATTTTTTCGCATCCCTATTGACCATAGACAAATAAATATGTAGCACTAAGGGTTTGACAAATGTATCTGGATCTGGAATATGGTGTGTCCGTATGGGCTTATTATTTATTAAGTTTTACAGAATTCATGTTATAATTACATATAAATAAAAATATGTCCCTCAAGGAAAGTCTGCAAGAAGTAGGCTGGTAAGTAGTAAGAAAGAGTTAAACATAGAAGTTTGTTGCATTTAATATTTCTGATTATTGTGTGATATTTCCAGGCATCTTACTCAAGATGGTATTGATACAATTAGCGAAAATGGTGAAATACAAGATGTAAATATTATTAGCCGAAAAGCTTTAGATGTAAGTATAATAATAATATAATATGACGTTTTGTGTAGGTGGTAAATCTTAGGGTATATTAAGATTTTTTTACAATATTGCAGTTTGATTTGAGAGATGTTGGTGATGTTGCATTTCCTGAAGACTTTACTAAAGATCCCACCAAGCTAGAAAAACCAATAGTTGTACAAATACAGAAGATAAGAAACGTCTCAGCCCCAAAAGCTAATGAGGAATCAAGTTCAGCCCCACGGATGCTAAGGTTGACATTACATGATGGGAAGTCATCCTGCACTGGATTAGAGACAAGCCCTATTCCAAGTATTAGTATCAATACTCCACCTGGCACCAAACTTTTGCTCAATAACGAAGGACTAGAAGTATGTCATGGTGTTATCTGGCTGTCTCCAAGTGTTATATCAGTATTAGGTGGAAAAGTTTCCCACATGATAGAAAAATGGGAATTAAATCGAAGTCTTGCAAAACATACTCGAGGTAAGAATTATGCTATAAAATTAAATTACAACACATTTCTTCTTCATCTCTTAAAAGAAGATTGGCTTCTTTGTTTAACTGATGAACCTCTGCTGTGCTATGTCAAGGTTGAGACACAAGGGGATATTACTTTAAGAAACTGGCTGAGTATATTGACTACTAGTTTTAGGGACGATTTTGTGCCTACCTTAAGAAGTTGAAATACCTAAAAAAGAAAAAAAAAACCGTAAGATTTAGATTGTAATGGTAATTGAAATAAGATAGATTTGAATATAGTATTAAGATTAGAAGACTTAAACTTAACACTACTGCAATTATGAATAATAATAATTATTATTTTTAACCGACTTGAAAAAAAAGTGGGGAGGTACTCAATTCAACTGCATTTTTTAATGTTACCTCAGAACTTTTTCTAGGTGAACTGATTTTTTTGATTCTTTTTTTTATTTGAAAGCTGGTGCTTCTCTCATAGTCCCATATAAATTTGATCAAGATCTGACCGGTAGTTTTTGAGTTATCCATAATAATGCATATTTAATTAACTTTGACTACATTGATAATGTTCATATTTTATTTATATTGAAGTTATTCTACAAATTTTTTAATTTTACCACTTGTATGCTATTAATATTAAAAATTTTATATTACTAGTTCTTAGAAAGTTTGCTAGTACATTAGCAAAAGGGGTATTTATGAAGGTTAATAAAAAGGGAACATTTACAGTGTTGAATATTAGAAGGTAAAATATCATTTAAGGGGTTGGCAAATGGCTGTACTCAAAGTGCTCCAGAGTGTTTGCATTTAGGCCACAATCACACAGAACTAGCTTTCACACAAAGTTTCAATTTCTATAGAACTATGTGAGATAGGTAAAATGGGCTGAATGCAACCATAGAATTTTCCTTTTGACAGCCTGGAAGATTGCCTTCTATTATTCCATTCAACCAACATGTTTAGTTTTGCTGCAACATGCAGGTCCTGATCAATATTGAATTCATAAGTGTTGTAACCATGTAATAAGGTTGCAAGTTGCAAGTCCATCTGCAGTCTCTCTAATGTAGGGTTACCAGATGAAAAAATCAAGTCTGGAGAAAAGGCCTGATTTCCATTGAAAAATCCTGAGACTTTTTACAGTTTTTAAAAATTTCTCTCCGACGTACTTAACAATTTAAAAAAATTATAATATTATCGTTTTTATACACTGTGGATCTCGCGTTGCATGCGTGGGGGTGTCACCGCCCTTATCACAGCTGTGTCGCATACTCACTCACTTCCATCCCATTGAGAAGATTGAACTGCTTTAACCGTACTCAAGTAAATCATCATCATTAATTAATCTCAATTTAAAATGAAATACTCAATACCATGCTTTAACTATTTTCAAGACAATAGGTATTTCACGATTACGATGGGGTCTCATTGGTCGCATGAAAGAAACAAACTAACGGTGTTGTCAGTTCGAAATATAATTTGACATGTGTGTTATAAATCTATAATTAAAGGAAAAAACCTTACTTAAAAAGGTATCTTCACATATTAAGTATGATAAAACTGTTTAAGGAACTACTTGGATAAATAAGTTTTGATTTTAATTGTGCAATTAATACCAAAGAAAGATTATTTTTAGTTTGTTTAACTTTTTATTAAAGAGATCTTTAAAATGTAAGCTGTATTGTATTGAAAATTCTAAAAATCCTGAGATTTCATGGGATTTGCAAAATCCAGCCGCAATCCTGAGAAGAGTTCAAAAATCCTGAAATCTCAGGACAAATCCTGAGATATGGTAACCCTACTCTAATGGGTCTGGCCACCCAATATTGTTAAAGGTATCAAAAAATTGTATAAAAAATTACAAATTCAACAGTATTCTTATTTTTTTTCTACCTTTAAAAATGACTGAAATATTGATGTGTAAAGTGGTGTTTTACGGTAAGGGCGATCGCTTTGCTCCGCATCGCGATGTGACGTTACAAACCGACACGTCTAAGCCACCAGTAGTCTTTATTGTTATATTTTTATTATTCTCTCCATGTTTATTCCTCCATATTTTTCTTGTCATGTTATTTATTTACCAGTAACCTTTATTTTCGTTTTTTTTTTAAATTTCTGTTATATCACGCTCCTTGGGAATAAAAGTCCGATATGAGAAGATAAAATCCTGTAGATCAAGTTATATCTTAATACAAAATTTCATCAAAATCAGTTTAGTATTACACACATTGAATGTTTGCGAATATTGCATTTTCAAAACAGTATAGGTACCAACTACAAACGTAATATCGCAATCAGTTTATTCAAAAGTAAGTCAAAGTAAAAGTAGGACCATATATTTGCAATCACTGACGAACTAAGTAACCAACAAAATTTCTTCAAGTGTCACTAGGTACTAAATAACTTTACGAGTTGATTAATACTCACTGCATTAGTAGGTTTAAGTAAGTTTTTTCATTTTATGTCATTGTAAATTATGTGTAACTTCATGGTTCGGTCAGTTAATATCTACCTATGTCATCATCATCATCATTACAGCCCTTCAGAAGTCCACTGCTGAACATAGGCCTCCCCCAAAGAAAGCCACAAAGCATGGTCCTGAGCCACCTGCATCCATCGACTTCCTGCATAACTTACCAGATCGTCACTCCATCTAGTGGGGGGACGCCCTACACTTCGCCTGCCGGTACGAGGCTGCCACTCGAGAACCTTTCTTCCCCATCGGTTGTCGGTTCTTCGAGCTATATGGCCGGCCCATTGCCACTTTAGCTTACTAATCCGTTGGGCTATGTCGGTCACTCTGGTTCTACTGCGGATATCCTCATTTCTGAGTTTATCACGTAGAGAAACTCCGAGCATAGCCCTCTCCATAGCTCGCTGAGCGACCTTGAGCTTCCTCATCCGGCCAGCAGTGAAGGGCCACGTCTCAGTTCCGTATGTCATCACTGGCAACACGCACTGGGTGTACAGTCTCGTTTTCAAGTTTTGAGGTATACCTGACGAGAAGATGTGCCGTAATTTCCCGAATGCTGCCCAACCGAGTTGAATCCGTCGATTGACCTCTCGGTCGAAGTTGGACTTACCTAGTCGGACTATTTGTCCCAGGTAAACATACTCGTCAACAACTTCAAGCTTAGTGTTCCCAACAACTACCGGCATAGGTGTGACATGGACATTGAACATGATCTTTGTTTTGTCCATGTTCATCTTAAGACCTATCCGTTGGGAAACACTATCGAGGTCATTGAGCATAGTGCTTAGGTCCTCCAGCGATTCTGCCATAAGGACTATATCGTCGGCAAATCGAAGGTGAGTGATGTACTCGCCATTGATGTTGATACCGTATCCTTTCCAGTCCAGAAGCTTGAAAACTTCTTCCAATGCAGCGGTAAAGAGTTTCGGGGATATGACGTCACCCTGTCTTACACCTCTCTGCAATTGGATAGGTTTCGTACTCTGGTTCTGTACTCGAATAGCCATCGTAGCCCTACTGTACAAGCACTTCAACACTTCGATATACCGACAGTCAACTTGGCATCGCTGAAGGGACTGCAGCACCGCCCAAATTTCGACGGAATCAAAGGCTTTCTCATAGTCCACATACGCCAGACATAGTGGCAAATTGTACTCCTCGGACTTCTGTACAATTTGCCGAAGGGTATGTATGTGGTCTAAAGCCTTTTCGGAAACCGGCTTGTTCGGGAGGCTGGAAGTCGTCAAGTCTGCGCACGAGACGATTCGTAATGACTCTCGAAAACAGCACGTAGACGCGGCTCAGAAGGGAAATCGGTCTGTAGTTCTTCAAGAGAGCGTTGTCGCCTTTCTTGAAGAACAAGACCACCGCACTTCTGCTCCACGCCTCCGGTGTAATGCCACCATGGAGGACGGAATTAAAGAGCTTCTGAAGGACTTCAAGTACCGGTTTTCCACCCGCTTTCAGAAGCTCCGCTGTAATTTTATCCTCGCCTGGGGCCTTGCCGTTTTTAAGGTGCTGGAGAGCCATTCTAATCTCGCTCAGACTGACGTCCGGGATATCATCGGAATAATGTCGGATAAGACTCGCTCTTGGATCGTTACTCACACTTGCGTGCGGCTCCTACGATGACGTGTACAGCTGCCCGTAGAACCTCTCAATCTCACTCAAAATCTCAGGTGCCCCGGAAACGATGCTGCCACATTCGGTCTTCAGCTTTGACAGTTGGCTCTTTCTGGATCTCTGGCAAAGACTCTGGAGCCTTGGTTCCGCTCGATCGCTTCTTCAATACGAGCTGTATTGAAGTTGCGTAAGTCCCGCCGCATGCATTTGGAGATCTTTCTGTTCAGTTGCCTGTATGCTGTCAAATCTGTTGAAGAATGTAGTTTCATCTCCCGTCTAACAGCCATGAGATTAAGAGTGTGATCGGAGAGTTTTTGTGTTCTTCTGCGGCGGGTCTTGCAGAACTTAGCTCCGACCGCATGGGCAGTTTCCACGAGCTTGTCATTCAAATCGTCCACTTCATTGCAGTCTTCTAGGCACTGAAAACGGTTTTGTAACTCGAGCTGAAAGGTTTCGGGACTTTGGATTAGAGCACGAGGGGGACGGAGCGTTGACTTCATTAGACGAGACCTCTCCAACTTAACGTTTAGGTTCAGTGTGCCTCTAACCATTCGGTGATCGCTGTCGATTTTCACCCTCGCGATCACTGAGACATCACTGAACAGTTGTCGTCTGGTCGTCATAATAAAGTCAATCTCATTTTTTGTCGAACCGTCGGGGCTCGACCAGGTTCACTTCCTGTGGGGCCGCTTCTGGAAGAAAGAGTTCATCACAAAGAGTCCCTCTTTCTCCTTGAAGTCGGCCAGCTGCTGGCCCCTTGGGATCCGTTGCCTTATTCCAAATTTCCCCACTTTCAGCTCACCGTTTTCTCTTGTGCCTAGTTTTGCATTGAAGTCTCCCATTAACACCGTATATTGGGTTTTGGAGGAATGTATGGCTCTAGAGATATCCTCATACATTTCCTCCACCTCCT